AACGCGGCTAGAATTTTGAGGGTGGGGGTTATGTGGGAAATGTTTGTTAAAACTTTAAATAAAATTGTCAATTTCCTTTCTTAAAATTTGTGACAGTTTCGATTTCTTTCTCAATAAATAGCTGGTGATTTACTAAGACTAAGAGGCAAAAAGCGGGAAAGTAATGAAATATATTATGTCAGTAGCGAAATAAACACCATTGCAAACAGATGACTAACAAAGCAACTTGGCTCCACCCAGATACATAAAATCACTAACACTGCCTCTCATTTTACTCACCACAAACCAGAGTCAACTTAGGTGGCATCTAAATAATTAATTTCCATCTATCAAATTAGAGCTGACCAACCACAGACCATTTAAATAGCTTATTTACCTACTATGACTCACAATTGTCGAGAAAAGTCAACCCACTTGCATAGGAAGGGGGCTGTGGAGGGGGTGGTCCACACAGGGGCCACTTTTTTTTAAATTTATAATGAGGGGCGGCATTTTCGGCGAGCTGAAGAGTTTTTTTGTTTTTGTTTCTTTTTAAACTTAGACTCTAGTGGTAGTGGGTGGCACAACTTTCTAGTGAACATATCGCAACATAACCCCTGGTCCGCTCGTAACGTTTCCCAGATCTGCTCATTGTGAGGACACGTTACACATCACCCAACGCTTGGAAATTGGTCGCTCTCTGTTGTTGGTGGAATTCTATTACGTAGCCGAGTCTCTCGCTTCGCACCTTTTTTTTTTGCCCATGCGCCGTTTCACTGGTCTGGTCTGCTGATTACCAAAGTCATTCTCTGATACACTAAAGTCAGTGGCGTAGCGAGGGTCGGTGTCACCCGGAGCGGTAAACTCATGGTGTCACCCCCCTCCCCCGACTTCCAAGGTGGATTTGTTATTGTTAAAATAAGTCCACAGTATACCAATGACAAGAACAAAAACAAATTAATTAAAGGTCAGGAGGTAAATTTATTTTAGAAGAGTGATCAAGACATTAATTATGGGCCCTCAAAAAAGAAAAAGAACAAGTAACAACGTTACGTTATAGTTATTTTTACATTAAATTTACTACACTAAAAATTTTCCTTTCTTTGTCTTCAAAGTTGCAAATCTGTCAATTACTTGATCAAATTCAATATCCTGCACCGTGTCACATTCAACTGATATGTAGAGCCAGATCAGATAGCCTTGTTGGATCGTGAATAGGTCTTGATAAGCATACGTTTTGAAAAGCTCAGCTCACATGAAGCCACAGACACACAGATCGTAAAACAATTGAAGACTTAGCGAGAGTAATTGACGAGATTTTAGGAAGTCCCATTCAGCTATGAATTTCAAAACATCAAATACTGACCAGTCTTTGAATTTGTGAAATTAAATATCTGTCTGCTGCCTTTAGTGTCTTCTAAGCCTATGTATTTCTTTTAAAAGTTCATCCTCTTATGACCCATCATAGAAAGAGGTTAATTTTGGAACGGACACCAATAACTCTTCTTCACTTGCTGATAGTAGAATCTTGAGTTGAACACCCCTTGTGCGGGTGACACCCGGTGCGGTCCGCACCCCCCCCCAGCTACGCCACTGACTAAAGTAATACGTCGGCATAGCTCGAGCGACGCGGCCTCCACGGCCTTGCCATTTTTCTGTTTAGCGAGGCTGTGGGCAGCAACGCAGGCGCCGCGGCTTACCCGTGTATAGGTTTACTTTAAGCAGATTTCTGATCGTTAATGCTGCATAAACTTTATGGTTTGTGTCCGTTGGGGTGGCCGCGCAAATGAACGCAGGACAAGTAAACCCACAACTCACCATAACACATCCGAACACAGGACTAGTGAACCAACGGACAAGTTAACACGCAGAAAAGTGAATACCGGTATATAGAACATAGACAGTGAACTCAACAACTGGGTTTGAAAAGGCCTTGCTGAGATAATCGTCATTCTTGACTTGTTCTTGTAAATTTATTTTCACTGCTAATTCGCAATGATTGGTTCCGAAAGATTTCAGCTACTTTTATAAATATGTACATGTTTTTAATGTGCTGAAAATTATTTTACAAAATTGTGTAAATAACCATTTTTATTATATTTCTTGGGCAGATTTTTGGTTCCTAAACTGAGTCTATTGATTTCTTATTAAAAAAACATTAACATGTTCTACAATATTGTTTAACATTTGTAAAAATATCTAGAAAATTCTTATCTTTTATGATAATTTCACATTGAAATGCTTTAAATTTTATTTGACTCCTATTTATCTAATATTGCTTAATTGAATTTTTTTTCTCTTTTTAAAGTGGTCCACTTTGGATTTTCCATTTATCTCTGACGTCAAATATATTATGAGGAAAAGTATTATTACCACATGCTTCAAAATTTGCAAGGTTTTTTTTCTATTATATTCTCTGCATAATGATTGATGTTTTTTTTTATATTACATGTCTCATAAACAAAATTCCGAAGTTTTTATGATCTTATTATTTTTATTAGGCTCGAGGCTAGTGTGTTGTTGGGAAAATGCATTCATTTATATTCTATCAATTATATCTATGCACTTAAATTGTGTTTTTTTTTATTAACGAGTGGAATGCGTTCATGGTGTATGCATTCAATGTTGTTCAAGTAACCTTTAATTTTTTTTAATAACCATTTAATTTTGTCAGTGTCTTTTTCAGCTTTTATCGATATAGTATAGCATTTTCATTTTTTTTTCTGACGTCAATTGATGAATCAGGAGGAATAGTTTTGGAACTACATTATTGAAACTTTGCATGCTTATTTATATTGACATTCTCTACTTAATGATAGATGGTTTTTAAACAAATATCTCAAAGGAACATTTTTCAGAATTTTTGTATTTATATATTTTTTTTATTAGGTTCGTGTGTTAATTTTTTTCTTTTATCTTTTCTGTCTTAGTTTTCTAATTGTTTTATAATTCATGAATGGTATATGTACATGGTGTATGCATCCTATATCGTTCATGCAGCCCTCTAATTAAAAAAACAACAAAATTTTATACTTTTTTCATTTTTCTCAATTTTGCATTTTCCGGATTTTTTAGGAACGCCAAATGAATTGGGAGGAAAAGTATTGTAGCTACAGCCTTCAAACATTGCATGCTTCTTTTCATTGATATTCTTTACGAAATTCAAGAGGCTTTATTTATATACCGGGTATATCCAACTAGAAAAGTTTTATAACATTTTTTCATTTGCTACTCCCGAAGAGTTCTCGAATATTTATGTGACCCCCACACATGCCATTTGTAACACTTCCAATAACTGCTGTGTAATAAGCTTCTTTAAACTTTTTGTCAATGTTATTCTTAATGTGTAGGCCAAGTTTCATTTACAATACAGTACAATAAGTTACAATACAATGCAATACAAATTTGTCTTTATTCATTTTGCGTAAAAGTCAAAATTGGTAACGGGTATAAAATGTTTAATTTTTTGCAATAAAAGTCACAACAATTTTAAAAAAAATTAACTTAAGTGGATTTTTGTCTTTCTGTTTGTGTATGGTTTGTATGTACTATATTTTGTTCAATGGCTCTATTCATTTAGGGTTATCAGTATTTTATTTTCAATGTGGCATGACTTAGTTGCCTTGAAACCAAACTCCCTTCACATATCACATACATTTGCTCCCACTCAATCATTACATCTGTACTAAAATGAAGAAATGATACAAACAATAGTTAACTGTACGGGTACCAACAAGGAATGTGAGAAAGTAAAAGGAGACAAATGGCAAAGGAATGATGTGACCTAAGTGAATGAGTTTATTGGCTGCCTACTGGCCCCTAATTTATTTTATGGATTACTTGAGTAAACAACTTAAATAACTAACAACCAAACAAAAAAATATTCTCAAGTCAGTTAAGGTTTGGTTTTTCTATTCAATTTTAAATTATGTACCAGTGTGTTAGACCCAGTAGACAGCATTGGTAAAAAAAAAAAAAAAAAGAGACCTCCAAAAAAAATCTTTCTCATGCTTTATACAATGGCATCCTTTAACTTTAAGATGCTCATTGCAACTACCTTGTGAATTAGGTCAAGTCAAATGAGAAAAGTTGTTGAAAGGAGATTCGAGATATCAGGAAAAACAGTCAGTGTCCGCATTTATGACTCCCAGTGCCAAGGAAAACGTTTAAAATTGGTGGTTTTGTTCTGACTAAGCCAAGCACTCTAGAGGAATAGTTGAAATTAATTCATTATGAATTAAATTTTCATTATTTAGAATACCTAATTAATTCATAAAGTACTGTGTGATTAAATCTTTTAACTTAAACAATACACATAAATAATCTTAAATAAAGGATTTAATTTTAATAATAAAATTTATATTATTACTTTTCTAAAATTCAAATGAAAACAATAAATGTATCTAAATCATCTTCATTACTAGATTTTAAAAAAAAAAAAAAATGATGTACGAAAATGGCTTAAACTAAAAAATAAAATAAGAAAGAAAAAAAATCTAACCCTCCTAAGAAAAATTAACAAAGCAAAAATTTAAAAAAAAATAAAAAGAATAAAACTATGAATCTCTGAAATAACAAGGAGAAAAACAATTTAAAAAAAATAATTCTCATACTATTATTGTTCTTACACACGGCTCCGAAGCCATTTAATCTGTAAGGAGCCACTCCGGGTGCGAATAGTCATTGGCGACCATAAGGTAACCGGGTACCATTAGATGCCGCCTATGCCTGATTAAATTTTTAAAAATATTTTGCGACAATCAAATAAATATATTTCATTTTAAATTAATTATTTTTTTATATTTAAAAGTATAAATAATTAAATTTAAATTATTTAAAGTCATTTTTGTCATTTTACAATGGATTTGTCAAAAAATATTAAAAGTGTAATTGTCGCAAAAGTCAAAACGACCTTGGTTTTAACCCTTCTGTTACTACCTTATAAATGTGATAACTTAAAATGGCGGCCTTGGCGAAGAACGTGAAGTTATATAGTAGGGTTGCACATATTTGTATGCGCATTACCGCTTCAAGACTAGGCGCTGTTGTTCTAGTTCGGAACATTAATTCTGACGACAGATCACAGCAGTTGAAATTACACAAAACAGTAAAGAAAATTTGTTAATTAATCGTGCAAGTTGTTTGGCTATTTTAGTTTTGAGTATTGAATAATATTAAATATTATATAGGCCTACTATTGACATCTGACCATTCAAATGAGTCATGTTACTTAACTGTTACTCTTGATTTTGCGTTGATGTCCTATCTAAATAAATAAGCTAGTCTTAATATTGAATTGATTAAATGTTTTAACTTAAGACATGTACATAAATAAATGTATTATTGTGTACTCATACTCATAACACTGCAGGATTGACATTGAATATCATTCAAATTTTATTTCCAAGACCTGAGTCAGCTTTCATTATTTTTTCTTAAAGCTTATACTTAGATAGGATGATACATTTTGCACACTGACTAATCTTTAATTTATGATCTTTCAAGCTGTTTTTTATCCTTCACATGCAGATGACCAAGGCAACTTTTCAATTTGAGTAGTAGTAGTAGCCTTGACTTGAATTTTGTTTAAAATGATGGAGAGTTGCTAAATTTGTCAACCTCATTATCTTGTCTTTGCCTATTTGATTCAATGGCAAGACTTAGTCAAGACGACTGGAAATAAACCAGGATGCAATAGATGATCAGTAGTGTGTCTTGTGTGTTTCAGTTTCACTGTGCTCTTTATGCATTCTACATGGCAGGAGTTATTGAAATTTTCATTGTGTCATTGTCATACCGCCTACAGGACTCCATCTGCAAGTTTTAGAGTTTGCCTCCTCTTAAATGATTAAGAACTATCTAAGGTGAACGAGTGCCATCCATGCGGGGCGCTGTTAATGTTGGCATAGGTGTTTTCTGGTAATTGAACTGCAGTCAACAAGCTTGGGAATGACAGTTTAGACAGCTGTCAAAAGCTTATAATCCTTTATAACTGCTTTTTTTTTCCAATTAAATGTGAGCATTCCAATAACATATTTAAAACTAGCCTAAACGTTGAAGTGTCACCTTACTTATACCATGTGTAATATTGTGTTAGTGTCCTTTTTGTTTCGCCAGATTGATTATTGGCACTTGGAATAGCTCTCACTCTCAAAAAAATGATAAACCAGTTTTTTTTATATTATGGAATATACAGAGTAAAAACATTCATGTCAATCATTTTTACAATTTTTGTGAGTTTTAAATCTTAAAATACATTTTTATCACAATCCTCATGGTGACTTAATAATAGAAATTTGAAAGGGATTCATCTGTTTTGTTTATTGCAATTAACTTCAGTTTATTTTTGTTCTTTTAATCAACAGCTTGCCCATTTTGAAAATGTGCGACAATTTAGCAGTGCAACTGTTACTGTTGCTGCTATAGAAGCAAAAGTTTTGAATGTTTGCAAAGCATATGATAAAATCAATGCTGAAAAGGTACTTGCAAACTACTTCTTTAAAGAACTTAAGTAAGAGCATTTCTCAAATCATATTTCTACTCGGGTGTAAATATTTGTATGTTTCTGTGGCATGCAAATTGAAAATACATATTTGACATTAGCCAAGGAATGTTATGTGTAACTTAAAATTTGGAAACCCTTTAACCAGACCTGAAACAGATATTAACATATGTGTATTTGATGAAATGCTCTTTCTTACTTCATGAGTAACATAATTTTTCAAATCACTTTTCACGTGTAATATGATTTCATTGCAGCCATTCTTTCAACCTCAAAGATGGTACTCAGGTAAAGCACCCCTCACTCTAGAGACAATACAGAAACGTGTTGAACTGGTTTTGAAATTGTATGACAAAATTAACCCTGAAAAGGTACTGAACTCAAAGTGGATTTTCAAAACTGAGACTTAGGAATTTAAAAAAAACAATGGCTTTTTCCAGATATTCTTATGGTCATCAGATGTTTATATTGATATTAAATGCTATTAATTATTTGTGAATAAGTAATGTTAACTCCTCTCCTTATAACATTTTTATTGATATTATGCCTTGTGACAGAGAAATATGTTGTTTCAATAGAAATGGGGATAGTGTTGACAATTGAAAAACTGGTTTGATATATTTTATTGACATTTATTTTATTATTTCCAATAATTGTTTTCAACCATTAAAAACTTTTTTTAATGTCAAAAATAATTTTATTTTTAATTTAATGATGGTAATATTTTGTTTCATTTCAGCTAACATTAGACTCCCATTTTATGAATGATCTTGGTTTGGACAGTCTTGATCAAGTAGAAATTATAATGGCGATTGAAGATGAGTTTGGTAAGTGGAGATAAGTGAGCGTAAATTAGTGTATTGCCTTTTTCAAGAAAACCCTTCACTTAATTATGTATAGTGTCAGAGTTCATAAAACTGTATTCCATTTAGCAGCATAAAAAATGTATTCCATATTCTAAGTAATGTACCATGGTGTTGTATATATAAATTTAAAAAGAACAACACTTTTAAACTCAAATTAATTTAGTAATAAACTGATTAACATGATCCAGTGATATCCAGATTTTCTAAGTAGCATTCTTATTTAGCAATATTTTTAGTTTAACTTTTAGCTGTTAATTAATATTACCGGTACCTATGTTTTTTTAATAAGGATTTTGAATATTATTTATGTCATTTGAAATTTACATCAGGTTTTGAGATTCCTGATGCAGATTCTGAAAGGTTAATGAGACCCCGAGATATTGTACAGTATATAGCTGACAAAGAAGACATATACCATTGAGTGGGGATTACAATTTTTTGGATAAAATCTAGGTATGTCTGTGGAACTTTACCTCATTGTAAATTTATCACTTATAAACCTTAAATGGATTATATTGGCAGTTGTTGCCAGGAATTAGTCAAAATGCACTTTACTAGCAAAAACTGCACTGGTGGTATAGTTGAAGTTTCTACTTAATGAGATATATTTATGTGATGAAGATGGTTCTGTTATTGAGATTAATTTTTGCATATCAAACTAACAACTGATGGATATAATTTGAATCATATGGGAGAGGTGTGTTTTGGGACCCTGGAAATATGCATTTAGTCAGTCTGCAAAAATGAGTTAAAACCAGACACACACTGTTGGGACTATTAGTAATCATGATGTGATAGATGAGTGGTGCAATGAAACAAATGAAGCAGTTCCCCCTCCCACTTGAGAACTGTAACATAATGATATTTGATGTTACTTTGCAGCTGAATGAATAGGACCATTTCGTGTCAGTGTAGTGATATATAGATATACATGTAGAGAGTGAGGAACTACTAGAGCAGCCATATTATATTGAATGAAGAAGCAGTTGGGAAGATTTGTTCTTGACTCTTATGTTATTTTCTAAAAAGAAATTGATGTATTATGACTGAATTGTTTTTAATCATCATTCTATTAATCATCAGTTGTGAACATTATTCTTTGTAGTGCTATAAGTAAATAAATAAGTGATATGTGAATTCTTAGACTTACAGTATTATTACAGTTGTGAGAAATAATTAGTAGTTAACCCTCAACTGATATTCACTGAGGTAGCCACTCAGGTCATAACAAGTTATAACAGTAACAGTGATATCAGCATTGGAAGAAAGGTTACATTGGTTTTTAGAAAATAGTGTATATTAATAATGTTAAACAGTTTTTTTTTGAAGTTCTCTCGTGTGACTTATAATTTCTGGTATAATTTCAGGTTTAATTAGACTCTGACTGCCACAGACTGTACTGTGGGAATAAGATCCTGAAGTACATGTCTTGTACCAAATGTGAAAAGATCCACATTGTCTATCAATGTACAGTTTGTAGCATATATCTAGTTTAATATACAAAAAAATAATTCTGTGGTAGGAAATTGTTTGGCAGTTTGAAAAACTTATGTTTGAGCTTAATATCTAAACATAAACTAAACTTCAAGGTATTGTTTCTGATTGAATAGACCATTAAGTGATATTGAGTAGTTCCATTTTGTTTTTGTTTGGTGGAAAAAATTGTATGAATGGTAATATGCATTAGACCATATAGTTTTATTATTTTTAAAACTACTTGAAAATGAATGAAAGTTGTTTATAAAAAAAAATAAATCAATACTTTATGAAATAAATGATTATTTTTGCCTTATTATGGTTTTTAAAAAACGTAGTTTCATTTTGTATTTGTGTCCTTTGTATTTTAAGATGATGGAGTGAGAATTTTTGAAAGTTGCCATCTGATACTGATACCTTTACAGGAAAATTGTCTTCTCTAATAACTAGGACTAACAATGTCAATTTTTAAAGCAAAAAGTATATTTGCTATTCAAATTTTTGTAACATTAACTATAGCAGTGGTTCTGAAACTATTTATGGCCACCACTCCCATTTGCTCCAGACTTTGGGATGCCATCAGCTGCAATAGTATGCTTTAAGTTTAAGTGGAATCTCCTTGTAATACTGGTTACATTAAATATTAACTCCCTTTTACATTATTTTAGGTTGAAAGCTAAATAACTCTTGACCCAAACTTTTACAAAACATACATAAATGAGAAGCAAAGATTAATCTATGCCTGCCAAGTCATCCTTTTTTGAATGCAAGCTCTGTTGCCCTGAGCTTACTGCACATATCATCCAAAATCTGGTGATGACTTATGCAGAACAATACTCTGAAGGTCAATTATATTATATAATAACTGATTATGTTATGTTTAAGTAATCAATAATGAAATATTTGATGCATGGAGGAAGCCATCAGTGTTTGTTTTAGAACATTGGCTCATTTGTACACTCCATTTACTGCTACTCGATTGGTCTGTTCACAGCACCTTATAAACATTAACATAATTTAATAATCACCACTGGTACATGCTTCTATTTAAAAGCTAGATCAAGAGACGTTTCTCTCCTTATGTGTACTGGTATGTCTGAAAGTGCTATAAAAAACAAACTAATCTCAAAATTTTCCTTTTGGTATAAACAATATCAATTACTTGAACACGTTGGTACAGCATTGTTTGCAAGGAACTCTTTCACTTCCTTGTTTACAGAAAAAAATAAGTGAATATTGACATTAAATGATGAATAGAAATAAATATTCAATAGTATTATCAAATCAACTAATACTAATGGTACTACATAGCAAAATATTGTTTCATTTAAGGAAATATTAAAACTGCAATTAATGAGTTCATTCTCAAAAGCAAGTGATAAAGCCAACATTGCCATTAGCAGAATATCCAAAACCGATTTAGCTACCTCTACTTTAAACAGCAACGTTTTCTTTTTCCTAAAGATATTATGTGACTATAGGAGCTAACGTTATTGCCATATTCATCAAAATTCATGTCAATATGAATTACTTTATTTTTTGTCCTTGCTTTGTAGTGTTAAAAGGACATTAATTTTTGATTAAACCAATCTGTCAAACTTTGAATATTGCACCCCAAAATGCCGAATATCAAATTCCCTCTCCCTGACTCTGACATAAACAGAAATTAGAGATATTGCCGCTTAGGAATATTAATGAAGGACAAACAACATGTGTCAAGAATAAATGGTTTCCAAAAATTTTTTTTTACAGATAAAAACTCATGTATGCAAATGCAAGCCAACACCTAAAATTTAATTTTATATTGAGACTAATTCATTTTGTGAGGATTAACTGCCTAAATGATTTTATATGGCTGTTTTCTTGCAAATAAAGTGGGGTGTTTTTTGTTTTTTTGGTACCGGTATTTACAATAAAAATTGTTATGCAGAGAAATGAAAAAATTCTGAGGCACTTTTCTTGAAATATGGGAACATCCACAATGCCTAATTTCCATTTTGAGCACACTTACACAGTGCAAAAGTTTGACATAAAATGTAACAGGAATATCAGCAAGACAAGTTTATTCACTACTTAGAACATCCTTACATGTATCAGGCATTTACATAAGAAATGTAACATATCAGTGAGTTAAATTTTCATTTTCAAAAATTATTTTTTTTTAAATATGTTAAATTTAATTCTTATATTAATACATTTCGCTTGATAATAAGACTCGAGCAATCTTAATATCCCACACTACTGACAGAAAATAAAATAAATTGATCTTTAATTAAGACTTCAGCTATAGGCATTGTATGGAGACTCCTTAGTTGGATGGGTGTTTTAATTTAAATATATATTTTATTTCTACATGAATTAATATTAACAATATTGGTAGTTACTAACACAATATTAGTGTGTGCTAAAACCAAAATTATAATAAAATATGCAGATTTGCAAGCTATTGTGGGGCTAAGACAAGCACTAAAAATACATATTCATATTGTCTTGACATGACTAGAATGCATATTTGAATTTGATTTGGTTCACAGCTGTTGAGATATTTAAAGAAGCTGATTGAAATCTGTGGCTACTAGGTGTCCTATTTTAGCATTTGTAATTGTTATATATCTCTGAAGAACTTATGTCATATTATCTCAAGGCATTAAAATTAAACATTTTAATTTAATGAAACCATCATTTAATTTTTGTTAACTTCCACACGAAATTGAGATTAACAGAACAAAAAGCTGATTTCATAAGACTCTTTTATACACTGGTGACTCTAATAAGTTATAAGTAACACACTTTGAAAGAACATGGACATGTGGCAAAGAAGCATTTTCTTTATCCCCCCCACACTTACACCCTCTAAACCTAAACTTTTAAAAGGGGAATGATTTTATACCACAATTGTTATTTCTTCATAGACATACCAATGTGGAAAAGAGCAATTTCCTTAATTAAAAGTAAGAAAAGATCACACCAAATCTGCAGGTAGATTCAAAGTGTATCCAATATAATTTTAATAAGCCATAATGACTTTGATGAAAAATTATCAAAATATCCCAGGGTCAGAATGCCATTTAGAAATTTAGAGTTCAATTTGAATAATAACTAACTGTGGGAGGGAAACATTAAGAGGATAGATCCACAATTCATGTTTAGTCAACTGCTTATTTCAGTATCCAGTAATATAATTAAACACAGAGTATATTGTTCTTAATGGATCAATAAATTCAATAAATTGACTTCTTTCCTTTCATGCACCTTTCAGGAAAGTGAATTACAGTATGGTTATATAATAGCGTGTCATCATCAAGGTCAGAAGTGGCTAAGAAAGATGGGATACATAGGGATGGAAGGGGGGGGGTTTGAAAGAACATCCTAAGGGATGCAAGAATCTTTAACTACATTAACCTCAGAACAAACAAGAAATTTTTAACAGGATTTATTTTCAAACATTGTTTATTCAAAGCCAACTCCCATTGCTCACATTAGTCAACTTGGTTATTAATCATAAGTTTGACTATGCTCTTGGAGATTCAGTGGTGCTTTTATTCCAACTCATTTAACTTTTAAAATGACAAAACATTTAATTAAACACACATTTTTTTTTTGGTATAAGTTTTGAAATTCATAGGCAATGCAATTGAAAAATGTCTTTGTTAGAATTAATTAAGCGCTAAAAAGCTAATTTACAACAAATTTCATCAGGAAAAAAACATATTTCTTCAGCATGCATACTATTTACAACATTTAGTTAAACAAGAAGGCAGAGTCCTAATCCAGAAGTTAACTCTGGGAAAGGCATCATAAAATAATAATAAATGTGCACAAACATCAGATATAGGCAAAAGTGACACTTTATGGAAAAAATAAGTTTAGTTTATGTCACTTGCTATCTTCCTATTCATGGCCAGCTAAAAAAAATTATTGATTTGTGATTTCAGTGAAAAGTTTCCCATTCCAATTTGTTGGTCACAACTCTGTGGCTTGAAGACCATCCAAGTCTAGGTCTATAGAGAAATGAAAATAAATAGTGTTAACACACAAACAATGTGTCCAGCAGAGAAAATCGGGGTAATATCAGTTTGAAAAGTGAAACAACATACTACACTTACTGCTAAAACCAGTCAACATTAAACTATTAAGTTAAGCAAAAAAAAAAAAAAAATGTGTTTATAGTTGGAGAATATGTAACTGTATTATCACATAATGCTCTTTCACATAATACTCTTTTTCTGTAGGGGGGGGGGGGGGGGGGGGAAATAACTAGATATGCAACAACAGACGTTGTAAATACATGTTAGAGCAAATGAAAATTCTTTTATCAAGGAAAGAGCAACAATAATTGTGATTTTAAGATGTTTTTTCGGCAAGTTTATACCAAACTGATTATTTCTGAACTCAATATTTGGAACGCTAACTCAGTAAAAATTATACTATTAATTTGTATGAACTATTTATTTAAATATATATAAGTATAAGATGCAAGCTGAGTAAAATAAAAAATAAGATGAAATGAATCAAAAGAATTTAGTTTTGTTAATTTTTAGATTTATGTCCTGAATTAGTTTGGCTTTGGCCCTTTGTTTTAATGTCAAATACCCAATGTTTAATTATTTTTATAAACTTGAAAGAAAAGCATTAATAGATTGAAAGAAAAAACATTTGATTAGTGATCCATCTCGACTGTAATTAGACCAAACACAAACATCAGAAATAATATTAAAGTCAAACTATTTTAAAGATACATCCAAAGGATCTAAATGATAAATCAAAATATGTTTTTGTTTAATGATATAGTATTTATATTGAGAAGGATACAAATTGAAGAAAAATATTGATAATATGTAAATTATTTCCTTGTTACAATTAAAGCTAATATGTAACCTTTACAACCACGCAGTTAACATGCGAATGACTGCTTTACTTACGGTCGGACCCGACTGCCAAGGTCTTGTTGGAGCTTTTAAAAACAGATGCGCAGGAATAATATTTCAACAAATGCACGTCATAAGTGTGTGTTGTTTAAGCCAAGTTTGAGTTTACATAGAAAGCAAAAATCATGCCAGGGTCACATTGAAATAATATATATCATTAATGTGCAGAATAGGATCAGTGGATTTTGTTTGTTATTACAATGACATCACTTTAATCTACAGTGCAGAAAATACTAATTCTGTTAATTATTAGGTCTACTAGTCTGACATGTCTTATCTATAGGAAATCTAACACATGATCTCATTTGATTAGGGTACAAAAGGT